CTGTGTTTAAAATTTGAATATATTTATTTGATACTAACAGAACGTAATTATTTCCATTGTGAAACAATGGTTGTTCCATGATTATATGAATTTTTCGCAAAAGAGAAATTTATCAATATATGTATTGTATGCATATGTGTAGTTTTATTCAATTATTAATTATTTATTCATTTCTTTTGTTTTTTTATTTCGGATATCAAACACCTCATCAACAACAACAACAATTGTGACATCAAACACCTCATCTGATAATAGTCTTGATGGAAGTGGCGAATACGAATCCGTATCAAATATATCAGATATCAATAGTGACGATGAAAATGATATAACTGAATCTAATTCCGAGGAATTAAGCGATGATAGCTGGGATAGTGATAATGAGGAAGTAGGGGATGAACCGTAATTGAATAATTTGAAGTGGAATAAATGGAATATTGAACCTAATTTACCAACATCTGGTGGTCAATTTGGTTTAAACAAAAACATTTCCTCAACTACATTGACATCACCATTCGACTATTTTCGTTTTTTTTATCATCCAGTATTGTAACATGTATCGTCGATCAATCGAATCTTTATCGAACACAAATAAATCTAAAACAAGAGCCAATGACAGAATGTGAGTTTTTCCAATTACTTGAATTTCTTACTCAATATAACTGCTAATAAAAATGTGCTGCTATAAAATAACAACCTAAGTGTAAAAGAGTACGTTTTTTTGTTTTTGTAGTTTTTTCATGTTGTTCGGTACCAATGGGTCATCGATGACTCATCGTATTGTTCAACATTGGTGCAACTTTGATTTGATTCAACCTTAAAATTGACATATTGTACTACTCATTGCTTTATTCTATTAGTTAGTTTGGCGTCAGCTTTCTACAAGTACAGAATTTAGTACATTGAAGATGTACTAAACTGTAGAAAACAACTAGGCGCTATGTACAAATAATTTAAAGGTGCACCCTCTTCAATTCGTCTGCAAATTTATAAAACCTGCATCTTAGCTAAATTAGATTACGCCTGTGCTTTGTACGACAATAGCTTTGCTAATTTGGAAAGTCAACTTGAATCAGTTCAAAAATTAGTGGTTCACATGATCACGCGTGATTTTCATACACCAGGAAAAGCCCTTGTCGAAAAACTAAAATTACCTTTACTCTCCGTGCGACGGAGATACTTCAGACTAGTGTATTTCTTTTAAGTCCTTAACGGGTTATCACCCTTGTCTCGATTCGATCTTGTACAGTTTGATGTAAGTAGAAGATCCGATCGTCTATTATAGCATAAAAGACAAGTTTTTATTCCATTTGCGGGCACCGGAACTGTTCTACAATCTGTTGTGAATAGGGCGACTCGCGATTGGAACTCTCTCCTCAGCACTGTAGTTATCTCGCCAACAATAAGATCTTTCAAAACAAAACTGAGGCAGCACCTATAACTGTAAAAGCGGAAAAAATACGATAAAAAGGTGGCAATTTTTCTAGGTGTTTAAAACCTTTTTTGCTTTTCTTGACGGGAAACGTCGAAAGGAGAAATGTCGATAAAAAAAGAGCAAAACGTCGAAGAGGAAAATGTAGAAGAGCAAAATGCCGAAAAGGCAAACATCGAAAGCGGATAATGGAAGAAGGAAAATATCGAAAGGAAAACGCCGAAAAGAAGGAGATTTCTTTCTGTTCCTTGAAAATCACTGAAAGAGATATTTTATTAAACTACATAGAGAAAGAGAGTAGAAGAGAAATGATAGGGTCAATAGATCGTGAACTAACTTTTCGTTTATCCTGATCAAGAACGATAATCCAGTCAGTAGCTGTTTTGCATTAAATTCTCTATTGAGAAATCATCCATTGAGTGTGTCAAAACGTTGTTGAAAAGCTGCTGTATTTCCTGATTGCTTTGGGGCTGATGTCCCCGGTGGGGTGAAGATGAGACGTTCATCGTAGCAGCCATACTGAACTTCATCATACTTTACTTTTTCGACGAGTGGCTATAATTATAACGAGGTTGGGAACGTCTGATGAGAACCAATAGTAGTTCTAATGATAGATGATGATCTCTTGATAATTAAAATGATAAATTGATGATCTCTTGGCATAATGATCTCTTTCAGTGATTTTCAAGGAACAGAAAGAAATCTCCTTCTTTTCGGCGTTTTCCTTTCGATATTTTCCTTCTTCCATTATCCGCTTTCGATGTTTGCCTTTTCGGCATTTTGCTCTTCTACATTTTCCTCTTCGACGTCTTGCTCTTTTTTTATCGACATTTTTCCTTTCGATATTTTCCACCACGACCATTTCACTTAACTTGTTCACTCCTTTTGACTATAATGGCTCATTTCTACTAACTGCTGAAGGTTGTTGACGACTGGTCGCATCAAACTCATTTGCCAATTCGTCTAATCTCTGATAGATTTTTTCTTATTTATCCATGCTTTAAATCTATCTATGGAAAATCTGAGTACAAACTCTTACATGTTGACGCCTTTTCTCAAACAAAACTTTAAATTCTGAAACGACGTTGTCCGACACACAAAAAAAATATGACATGGATACTGTGAATTACAGACTGCATTCGCATTTCTTGTTTTATATAACCGCATGCGACAAATATGACATAAATGCGCAATAAAGGTACGTCTCGCTTTTATTTTTATTTCTTTCGTTTTTATTTTTATTTCTTTTTTTCTACGTCGTATGGTTTTTAACATCATTATGTACTTTTTCTTTTATTGTTTCCACGTGCGATTGTACTTTAAAATCTATGTGTAAATGCTGTTCTGCGAGTGTTGGACAAACGGAGAGATCATAGAAATCAGAATGAATCTGTTTCCTAAATAAATCAGACAGAAGAAATTGTTTTGTTTTCACTTTAGATTATGGAATCATCGTCGACTTTATTTGTTAACAACACGATTAATTTAACTAGATCAGATTTGATAACTTATTGTTCAAAATATGGTTTGATCAAATCATGTACAATGACCGACAGTTATTCATTTGTTGTATTTGAATCTAAAGAAGATGCATGCAGATTTTTAGACGATAGTCCTCATCAAGTCAATAACTCTTCGTTGGCTGTTGCAGTTAGTCGGCGTACAGTGGAAGATGATGAAATAGTGAGAAAAAGACTGTTTGTAAGCGGGTTAGATTCGAGTATAACAAAAAGTGATTTACACAATTATTTCAGTAAATATGGTCAGATTAATAAAGTATCAATGGTTGATGAAAAATCCGCTTTTATCCATTACGAAAATGATCAAAGTGTACAACAGATTATTCTAATACCAAATTATCATCGTTTAAATGGGATCTATGTAAATGTAAATAGAGCAGCTGGTACACAGCTACAATTCAAGATAGCACCCGCATTATCAGAAGGTAAAGAAATTCATATGGACGATAAAATAAATTGAATGTCAGCGTCTTGTAGATAGTTCGTTAAATAGTGTAATTTCAACCGTCATACAGCAAACAGAACCGACTTCTGATGCGGTTTGTGTTGAAACACCCATCGATTTATGGAGTCAAGAAAAATCGAATGAATTGCAATTCCAAGATAAACTACTTCGACTAGAATATTATTATCGTGATCTATTGCGCTCATACACTTTAGCCTATGCGGAAATTGAACGACTAACAGAGCTTAACAATAATCTCATGAAACAAGTAAACACATCGAGCCTAAATGAGAATGATAAATACGCAAAATATATATGGATGACAAATGAATATCAAAAATTAGAAGGTGAAGTCAACTTTATCAAAGAGGAGAATCGCACGATGAAAGAGAAATTAGTGGCGTTGCAAAAACAATTTAGCGTTGAGGTGAGTTTA